TATTTAAACATAATATTTATTTATATATTTTATTTATTATAAAATTTAATATACATAATAAATATTTAATATATACATTGCAAATGTTAAAATACTAATTGTAAAAAACATTTAAATTGTATCTTCAATTCGGAACAATCGACGTATTTTCCTCAAATTTTAAAACTAGTTTGTACTTCAAATTTATCCAAAAGTTATAAATAAATAAAAAAGTAAAAAATGCGAATTTTTTACACAAATATTATTATTTTTTAAAAAATTACTGAATTAACCACTGTGCAACTTTATTTACAGGGATAGAACCATTCACTGTTTAAGCTCATAATTCGGTTCCCGGGGAACCGAATTCTGAGCACCAACATGTATTTTTTTTTATTTTTTCAACTCAGAATTCGGTTCAATTCGGTTCCCTTGGAACCGAATTCTGAGTTGTTTTTATATTTTTTTTTTCGTGTTTGCAGGGGAGACGTGAGCAGATGTTGGAAGCGGAACGGCCCGTTCCGAAATCAGAACGGGTCGTTCTGCTTAAAGGAACAGAGTGGTATTTGTTAAAGTAAAACGGGCCAAGAACGGGCCGTTCCAACGTTAAGAATTAACGTTGAAATAGATGTTGGAAGCGGCCCGTTTTAAACAAATTTTTTGGTAGTTTTTTTTAACGTGGAACGAGCCGTTCTTGTTTTAGAACAGCCCGTTCCAAAATAGAAATTTACACATTTTTTTACTCCTGGAATGGCCTCGGAACGGCCCGTTCCAGGAGCTGTTTTAACAAAGGGTTTGTGATTCGGAACGGGCCGTTCTGGTTTTGGAACGGCCCGTTCTGGGTAAACAGTAAAACTTGCGTTTTTCTATAAATAGACCCCCTCCCCTTCATTTTTTAATGCAATTTCAGCTGAGTTTGTCTCCTTTACTCCTTTCCTGTACTGCTTCTGATTCACCTTGATAGTAAGAAAATTTTTTTTTGTTCAATTTTCATTAACTTTTATTACTTACTTTCCAATTTTACCCATTATTTTTTTTTTTGCATTTTTTAGACTGTTGAACTACTCCATTAAATAGTTGTCCCTTTTTTTGTTTTTTTATAGTATTTTGTTGGAAACATATTGCTCTTATAAATGCATATTAACTTTATATGAGTAGTTGGAGAAAAATTAGGTAGACATTAAAAATAAATACACACATTATGAATAAGAAAGAGGCACAACTTTGTTATCCTTTCTCTCTTTTAGCAAATATCCCACTGCTATTCTTCTGATATGGTATCAGAGCGTAAGATCCTTATTTTTTTTCTCTGCAACCATGAGCGGAGAGGCTGATCCATCTCTTAATGTTCATAGTTTTTTGTATCTACATCCCAATGAAAATCCTGCTATGGCTCTCGTTTCTCCTTCACTTGATTCAACCAATTATCATTCATGGAGCAGGTCCATGCTTACTGCTCTGAGTGCCAAAAATAAATTAGAGTTCATTGATGGAAGTGTTCCCCAACCCTTACCGTCTGATCGTAGCTATGGAGCTTGGAAAAGATGTAATAACATGGTCGTTTCTTGGCTTGTTCATTCTGTTTCTTCTTCCATACGACAGAGCATCCTTTGGATGGATCAGGCGGAGGTAATTTGGCGTGACCTCAAATCTAGATATTCTCAGGGAGATTTATTTCGTATTTCTGATCTACAATTCGAGGCATCCTCTATTAAACAAGGTGATCTCTCTGTCACAGATTTCTTTACCAAACTTCGCATTATTTGGGATGAATTGGGATAAAAATGGAAGAAAAAAAATTAATAACTCATTGATTTTAGTAATATGACAATGAAAAAATAATAATAAACTCTGACAAAAAGACTATGAAAAAAAACGGAGGGAGTAACAAACTATATATAAAATAACCAATTATTGTTGAGATGTGTTTGTGTGTTATTCAGCACTATTAGGATTTAGGATGCTACACTACACTACAACCATAACTTAATCAGACATGTACGAAGAATATCTTGGTAAGGCCACGTTAATAATGATCTCTCATCTTCTAGTGTATAAAAGTTCAAAACATTTGTGAGAAAAGTCGGGTTTGTAAAGCATTAAATTTCACACAATAACTTGGAGGTGGTCCTCTGTACACATTGAGTAAGAAGAATCAAAGTACCAAAATGTTAGACAGCTAATAGGATAGCTACAGTAAATAACCTAAAACTATATATAAGAGTCACCTATTTATTCATGTACCTTTACTGACACGATTACACTATCTTAACTAACCTATAACTATTAATTTAATTAGATGATAACTTTACAAATATTACCATCTTAGAAAATTTAAAAAAATTATAAGTTACAGAATCTGGTTCTTAATTAAACCTTCATGTTTCGTTTCATTTTATATTTTTTTTTTGTCTATATTGAAATAAGGTATAATCATTAAATAGTTTTTCATAGTCGTTTAAGGTTTTGCACGGGACTTAAGGAAATTATTGATATTTTAGTTTTCAAAAATATTTATTACTTACTTTCCAATTTTACCCATTATTTTTTTTTTTGCATTTTTTAGACTGTTGAACTACTCCATTAAATAGTTGTCCCTTTTTTTGTTTTTTTATAGTATTTTGTTGGAAACATATTGCTCTTATAAATGCATATTAACTTTATATGAGTAGTTGGAGAAAAATTAGGTAGACATTAAAAATAAATACACACATTGTTCAGGAAACATGTATTAATTATCAAGGATAAAAATGGAAGAAAAAAAATTAATAACTCATTGATTTTAGTAATATGACAATGAAAAAATAATAATAAACTCTGACAAAAAGACTATGAAAAAAAACGGAGGGAGTAACAAACTTGATCTGTCAAAGCTGATAACTCTATGAGTATTTGCCTTATATTGTGCATCTTGAATAGTTTTATTTGCAATTTTCGAATAGACATGTCCTGCATTAATCATTGCGCCCACTTCCGTACCTCTTTGAACGAAAAACTTGTTGCAACGAGTGTATGTGGCCATTACCATGGAACATTGACTCAGCTAGGTTTGTTGTCATGTGTCCCCAACGTCGTCCATTGTCCCATGCTAGTGGCCATTTTTCCCTAGGAATGTTGTCTAACCATTGAGCTGCTTCAACATTAGTATCTCTTACTATGTTGTAATAGTAAAAGAATCTAGGTTCAGTCATCCCGTAGGCTGCAAAAAAAAATATTAAATAATTAAAAGTAATAATCAAATGCTTTAAAAAAAGTAATGATAAACTTACCCATATTGACGACATCCTTCTTTAGTGCTGCATTTTTGAATCGTCGCATGAAATTTTGTGCAATATGTCGAATACAATAGACATGAACAGAATTGTCTTCTGTCCAGCCACTTCCATTCCTTGAGTATGCACTTCGAATAGCTTCATGACGATCAGAAATAAGGCACAACTCATCTTGCGGTGTTACATACCGCCTCAAGTTCTTCAGAAAAAAAAAACATGCATCGCTAGTTTCACCTTCAACAACAGCAAATGCAATAGGAATTATGTTGTTGCGACCATCTTGCGCAACTGCGACCAATAGTGTACCTTTGTATCTCCCATATAAAAAGGTACCATCCACTTGTACAATTGGTTTGCAGAAGGCAAAACCATCAATGCATGGTTTAAAGATTTATTTTAATTAATAATTAATATTCTATATCAAATTTTTAAAATTTAATTGTTAAATTAAAAAGCTTTTCAGATATAGGTCAAATTTATAAATTTTTTTAAAAAATTAAAAATCATGATACTTCGTTAAATTAATTCAAAATAACATATAAAATATTTTTGTTTTAAATGAGTGTAAAAATTTATAGGACACTAAAATAAAACAAATTAATAATTTTATTATGTTTATCCTATTAATTTTTATCATTTTATTCCTCTAATTTTAAATAAGTTGCAAAAAATTATTAAGTGACACTTAAATATTTATTTAGACAGAAAGAGAAAAAGGAAAAGTTATCACTATTTTATTTTATAAAAATAAGTAATTTTAAAATTTTTATAATAAAAAAATACTTTTCAAAATTATTATAGTTTTGGAACGGGTTGTTCTTCATCCAGAACAGCCCGTTTTGAAATCAGAACGGGCCGTTCTTTTGTACTCGTGGTGTGTTAATTTTGCATATGGAACGACCCATTTTAGATGCAAAATTAACACACCAAGTGTGCACCTAGAACGGCCCGTTCTGGTTTCAGAATGGGCCGTTCTGGTTCAAGGTATTTTCAATAAATCTGGCATCCACGTGGCCAAAAGTTAACTCCGTTTAAATAATTTTGACGGAAGTCCCACATTGAAACCAATTAATTTATTAGGGACCAAATTAAGACAAAAAATAAAAGTGGGACTAAATTGAAACAAACAATTATTATAAGGGACTAAAATAGGTTTTTAGCCTTTTTTTTATAAGGTTATTATACAAGCATACCCCACAATGATGAG